CATGCGCAGGACAAAGTGGAAATGAGCCAAAATGACTGCAATAGACATGGAGTTTTTGATAACACTGGATAATGACATTGTGATAAAGGGTTCGCACCACTGGGCTTTGGAGGAAGTATTTATTCGGGACCAGCCCTGAATTCATACGGCAGCTTAAATGAAACTGATAAGCATATATGAAATAAATGATGAACTTTAAAAATTTCAGTAGAAGTTTCGATTTGTTTTAGATCCCTGAACATTTCTGTCATTCTATTTACGTAAACTCTTTAGTCTAGAGTGAACCAAATTCCTATTTTAATAAATAAAACAAACATGAAAAAATATCGGCTCAAAAATGAAATATTTATTACACGTTTTTCACTTGAAAGTGAACAAGGGCCACTAACACTGTTCAAACCAGATTAAAATTTAGATTAATTTTTATAGTTTATTTACATTCCGTCAATAAGAAGTCATTGGAACTTTATTGTAAGCCGCTTGCGGTTTAGGTTTCGAGTAGAACATTCTTTCGCTGCATTTTTTCAACAAAAGCATTTAATTTGAGTGTGATGTCTGACCGCACAGAAAACATATGGGGTGTGCAATTTTCATTTGATTTAAGCATAATAGCTACGAAGGGTTGTAACAGTGATATGATCGGCACATGAGCACTATCTCAACTGATTGCCATTATTGCCATGTAAATGAATAGAATGTCTACTTCTTCTTCTTTTTCTCAACATCAATTGCATACGACTTATGGTAACTCTCCGTGATCATTAGAGGTGGCGCTACTTATGCGCATCAATTGACTTTTGCATTGGCTCTTATGTACTGTGCGTGCCTTTTGGATAGCTAACATCACCGAGGGTTGCGTACGGTATATCACTCATACAGATCGCGTTCAATTTTTTTTAAGGTTGCACAAATCCAGAGAAATAATATTCCACTCAATACCAATTCCGTAAGCAATTTAAAAGACAAATAACTTGAGCTTTTTTCTTGGCAGAATTTTATTCGATGGTCGAACAAAGCAGCAATATTAGTTGGTATGGTAAAAAAATGCATTGAAATCAATATTCTATAAGATAATTGAATACGGGAATGAAAGGAAATCATCCGATTATTCAGCCAATTCACATTTTTCCAAAGAGATAATGAGCTAACTCCTTGTGACCTGAAAAATAGAAGAGATCGATGAAAAAAGTCAAATGCCAATGCCATATTTAGTGAAAATGAATATTCAACATTACCATACTGAACAGCAAATTGGAAAGGTGTCCGTTTCAAAGCATCTTGAAGATGAACGTCGGCTCCTTTAGCGATGAGATATTCAGCAATATCCTTGTGACCTAGAAAATAATATAGATCGATGTAAAAGAACACGCCAATGTCTCATTTCTTGTAAATAATTATTGAACATTACCATTCATAGCAGCATAATGGAGAGCAGTCATATGAAAATGATTTCCATAATTAACTTTGGCTCCTTTACGGATGAATAGTTTAACAACCTCCATGTGACCATCCATAGCAGCATAGTGAAGAGGTGTTATTTGCAAATTATTTCCAATATTAACGTCGGCCCCATTATTGATGAGCTCTTCAGCGACATCGATGTCACCTGAATAGTAATACAGATCATTGAAATAATCGAAACAATTTTTTATTCAGTGAAAAAAAAATTCAACCCTACCATTCTCAGCAGCATAGTGAAGAGGTGTCACTTTGAATTCATTTCCAATATTAACATTGGCTCCTTCATTAATGAGTTTTTTAACTTCTACCGTATTACCAGTCCCAGCAGCTTTACACAGAGCTGGCTCTCCGATTGTGTGCATAGCGTTTACTAAAAGTTGAAAAATTAATAGAAGTGAATCGAAAGAAAATGTCTTATATCCATGAGATGAACTTTTCCGCGCACTCTTGTCTAAAATTATAGGTAAAATCGAAAAGCATCCTGTATCATATGATTTCCTCATTAGGCAATCCTATCGTGCTTTCGACGTGTATGCTGACGCAGAGTGCTGTCTGATGTATGACACCGTTGTATTGCATTGAAGCAAGTGTGCGTGTGTTCGTCTCAATACATTTTGACATTTTAGAAAGCTCTACACAAAGCTTGTGAATTTTATTTTACAAAAAAGCACTGACCCAACCACATGTGGCAGCCTCGTAATGATGCAAAACACTCAAAGATCTAATGTGAATCAGTTGACTGGAAGATGTGAGACATTTTTTTTTCTGGAATCAATTCTCTTTCACAATTAAACTAAACAAGTTTTCCTTCGATGAATGGACGATCATCATTCGGTTGTGGGAGTTCACCAAGAATTTGATTACATCAATAAAGCGAAAGCACACAATAAATGAAAAAAACCGTTGGAATAGTGTCACATTTTCATCGGATTTTATGATGATTTTTCAATGGTCTGGCAACACTTTTTTCGTCTAATGAAAGAGAATGAAAAATACGTTCGCTTCGCTCAGCATCCTTGCTAGCTCTGCGCAGCCCAGGCAAATTTATCGGAGTCGACACCTCACATCGAACCAGCCCACCCATGTATTATAATTTATGTTATGTATGCGGTCATCAAAAAGTGCTTTGTATATGGAATTTAAAAGTGAAACTTGATGAAGAAATGGATCTTCAATCTTACCGCCAGGTCGTTCTGCAGGTTTGGTCTGTTTCGGAATTGTTGGTGCTTTAATCAAAGCTGCTATAGTCATACCCTGCTTAGCTTTTGCTTTTTCTAACGCGGTTTGTAAGGTCGGATCCATCATATTAGGTTCGCCAAATGATTTTTTCGCTGAATAGTAATTGCTATAAGACTTTGCCTCCTGAACTTTTGATCCTGATTTCATGGCATGTGTATTTGGGCCCATCATAATAGGTTTGGCAAAGCTTTTTGGTGAGTCTAGCTTGCTTGGAGGCACCATCCGATCGTCATATTTTGTGCGATCGTTGAATGCTTTGACTCGGTCTTTTACTGAAATAAACGTTGGGTCTGACTCATATTCATCCTTCTTCACGGATGGTGCTCCACTCACATCCACGATTAAGAACTGTGGGAATAAAATAAAGTGATACAATTGGAATGGGAACAACGGATGAGGTTTAAATGTGTTTTAACTGTTGTTTTATTCGAATAAATGTTTCGGATGGAAGATTTTTTATTTGGAATAAACAATTTTTGTGATAAGAAAGCTTCAAAACGGACATTTTTTATCATGGAAATTGGTTAGAAAAAACATCCTAAATTGTCGACTGAAAGAATCAAATGTAAAATAAATTCGATCCTAAATTTGCATGTGAAAAAATTCCAGGCAACATTAGAATAACAAAAAAATCAATTGATCTTGTTGACTCACCATGGATGCCACCAAGCTTAAGAGCAGCAGGGTGAAAGATCTTCGACTCAGCATTTTTCCAGCTTCGAACTATCAAAAGTTTACTGTAAATGTATCAATTGTTTGGAATTGATGAACTGTTTGATGGACATACAAATCGAACGCAACTTTTTATACACTTTTCAAATATGGTCACATTAGT